CTTGAGTGACTTTAGTGGAAAATTACGTTGATGTTACCAAATTTGCCAGTAATAACTTCTCTTTTATTTTAACAAAATCTGTTGAAATCCGAAGAAGTGAAACCTTTTCTAGGTCTAGTGGATATTTTTTAGGCACAAAATTTCAGTGGCTGTCAAATACAAAAAACGCAACGTAGATTACTCAAAATCTAACAGTGGTCTACTGACAAATGGTCTGGCAGATGGAAGTCTAAAGAAACAGTATTTCATTTGAAGTAATACGTGTATTTCATACCAAAAGTTTACCCAAGGGACTAGCCAGTTTAGGAAGCCCTACTGGTCCTCAATAGGTACTGCGTTCTAAGTTTACCCAATGGTTTACCGTAACTATCGAAAAAGTGACATGAACTGATGAGCCTCTCCAAGGTTATTTCTAGAGCAGGTCCAGATTGCTAGCACCCCGGCCTGAAACACTGTGGGCAGGGGTGAATACAGAATTTTTTTGAATGGTGGGAGAGGATTGTTAAAAAAAAATAATTCCCTTTTAACCATTTCCACCAAATACGCGTTTCGGTGATCCAAGATGTCTATATTTTCATTTTTTTAATAAATTCGAGTGATTACATAGATAGATATGTATGCATTAAAAAGTTAGAAAAATCATTTTTTTAATTCTTCGTCCTTAAAAGAAAAAATTTTATTCAATATTTCATCGTTTGTAACTGTAATATCTCAGTGAATATTAAGTAAAGCTAAACCATTTAATTTTTGTTCCTCATATTTACTTCGTATACTTCGTAAATATGATTTAAGCTTAAGAAGAAGCGTTCGCTAGAAGCAACTGTCAAAGGAAGTATTGCGCGTCTAGGAATGGTGTTGGACTATGCTCCGTAGGTACATTGAACGAATGCCTCTAAAGAAACACGAGGGTGGTCAAAATTTTTTAAAACTTATAGAAACGACCATTTTTGTTCCGTAAACGAACTACGCCTAATCGTTAGTATTCATACATGCTAGTAAAACTTCAATAAGGTTTTTCGCTATCTCATCATTATTCTCAGTATGGAACTGTGGGACTCGGTGACTTATAGCCCATTTCGACCAACAGTTTAACCGCAGATAAGGCCCAAGTAAATTCAAAGAACGTTAACATGGGTGATGTAATATTTTTTAATTACTTATTTATTTGTACGCTTTCAACATTGTATTCATTCTCTTCGGTTTCTTCTTTAACTGCAGATTTTTGCAAATAGTTGAAGATTCATAAATACATACTTTTACTGAAATAAAAATAGAAGTGTCTTGGTTTCCGCAGCTAATTAAATGAAAAATAAATTCCTTAAATTTTCCACACAAACATTTAGCTTTTTTTATGTTGCGGTGAAATACTTAATTTAAAATTATTATTCTTATTTTCTCAATTTTATTTTTCTATTACGTGATATTTTCCTTTTTCTAAATCTACGCAAGCTTTGCTGCAAAAATGCAATCGATTTATTATGTCATTCCAATTACGTACAAATTAAATACCACAGACCAACAGAGGACCACATACGCGTATCGAACGCAATATGTCAAATTGTGCATTGCTTAGCAGCTGATATATTGCAATGCAAGTATCTACGCTTGCACGTATTTATGCGGACAAATGTAGTAGTTATGCTACTCCGGTTATTGGTGTGAAATATTTATCAAGCATGTCCCGGCAGTAAAATTTAGTGACAGTCTGTTAAAGCGCTAGTTCCGCCCTACAAAATTCAGAAGACCTTCGACCCCCTAGCATCGTTGGTCGCGAGCTCAAATCACAGTGGAGTAGTTGTGATTTTCAGATTAAATAAATTTAAATTGTTCAGTTCCGCTTAAAAATTGAAGAGAAAATTATCAAATTTTAATATAAATAAAGTAAAAAAATAAAAAAAAAAATTAAATAAAATGCAATCTGTAATAGAACAGAAAGAAAGAATGAAAAAAATATCAAAAAATCGAATAATCAAAATTTTGTTCATAAAAAACTTATTATCGCAAATCTGTCCAAAATGGAAACAGTTCAGAAAAGAAAAAATGTCCAACAATTTAGTTTTAAAATTTTTTTCACATAAAAAACTTATTGTCCCAGAACTTTCGAAAATGGAACCAATTCAAAACTAGCTCGAAAGTTCTACAGAGGTAGCAATTTTTACTTCGTAGAACATCGCCATGTAAACAGAGACAATTGAAAGCATTGCGTTGGGATAGATCGAAAAGCAGTACCGCCTCTTAAAGAGCTAGTTCTGAACTAGCTCGGTTTACTGCTGGGGTGAAATTCATCAGTGCACTGCAGTGTGTGTTTGTTTACGCTCAGACAAACAAAAGCAATAGAATACCGATATAAAGCATTTCTCTCGGTCACGCGTTGCATGCGAATATCTAAAAGCACATATTGTAAGAATACATATGTACATATCTGTATTAGTATGTTTATTGATAGAAATCAATTTATAAAAAGGCATTTGATTAAAATAAATTGCTTTGGAAATGCAGTAAATAAGGTTAGAAAATGATATAAGAACGACAAGATAACCTGGTTTAAAATTTTATAATTTTATAACATTCAGTTCTAAAAGTATCTTTTTAACTAATAAAAATTTAGGGTCATTATTTACTTCATTTCATTTTGTTACATTTCTGGCCTGTTTTAATTCGAAGTGATTAATGACAAGTCTTCTTAGGCGCTTCAAAATCTGTTGAAAGAGTGCAATCTTTGTATGTCTGCAATATATGTATGTCTAATGACCAAAAATTAATGTTAAAATTTTTATTTCCGATAGTGTATGTCTGCTTTATGAATAGCTGAAAATGTACATAGGTCCAATTCTTAAACAACTAAAAATACACTCACATATTTATGTACTACCAGGTTTTAAGTTCCCAAGTGTTGATATCCACTTTATCAATTAACGAAATTTATTTCCGCTTTTTATTTTCTTGCGTACAGAAAAGAAATATTTTGGAGTTGCATAGGTACGTGCTGGAAACCAAACTCCGGAGACCATCGTGCTTCCAAAAAATTTATCCGATTTTGCGAGTTTGCCAATTCAATTTGAACTATTTTAAGATCTCAGTTGAAAATATCAACTCCAATTGAATCACCACGCATATTCATAATCTAGTTACAGCAGCTTTTATCTTTAAAACTTTCCGCATGGAAGCACCATTCTTGCCAACAGCTGTACGGTTATGCTACGCATCACAGTCATATCCAATAGTTATGACGCGTCGATTATACACGCTTGTAGTGTTCAATAATATGCAACAAATATTTGATGCAAGAAAAAAATTTCATTTTACTTTACATCGCATGCGATTACTTATGTCCAACAAAAAATTTATAATTTTTACATTTTCTGGTATTTCCTTGCAGGGCAAACGAGATGGCACATAGCACTTATGCGCGCTGAAAGAAGAGGCAAAAAGTCATATTGGATGCAAAAACGCAAGAGCAGCTAAAGCCTGATGTGCGCCCACGTGTAACAAATACAACGGAATTGCGTCCAACAGCAGCGGCATCGGCAGCTGCGTGCAAATATATCTGCTTCGTACAGATGTTGCAACATACTCACCTGAGCGAGTAAGCGGAAAGCGTAGTGAAACAAAAAAAAGTGAAGTGAAAAACATAAAATAAAACTACAACTAGCATACGGTTCAGCGAGGCCAAAGTGTGAATGAGTGACTGAATGGAGGAAAAATTGCCAATTCAGTTGCTCAATAGCAATCGCGCAAGCAATCGAAGTGAAACGTGTGCTGCAGATGCAGATGTGTTGAGCATGGTGACGCACCATGTGGCATGTTGAATGAGGAAAAAACGTGTACAAATAGCAGGGGAAACGCATTTGCAATAGGGTGGAAGCACACCTGACGGTAACGAAAACAAATGAAATAATAAAATTTCCGCTCCAACAAAGGAACGCAAAAAGAGAACATAGAAAGCAAATTACAAAAACAAGCGCACTCAGCAACACACCGGCCAGCAGCAACAGCAACTACAATAAAGGCTACACAAGTGGGGGGAAATCAGTAAAAAGTAGAGACAAAAGGCTCTAAAGTGCCAGCGGCAGCGCATAAAAACGACTGGCAGTGATGTTGTTGGCGTTGCAGGAGAGGAAGCAGCAGCAGTGGCACCATTACTACCCCAGTGACGGCTCACATAGGGAACTACAACAACAAAAGACAAATTTCATCAATTTTCGTCAACGTCAACGTCATCGCATTCACCATCGTACCAACAGCAGCGCCCGCGAGGAAGCTCACCAACGCATTGAACACAAGCGCTTTCGCTTCAATACGCGCGTTTATGGCATCCAACGCATACAGATAGAACAAATTGTTGATAAGCAACAGAAAAGTGCGCAACAATCCACTCAACGACGACGAAGACGACGACAGCTTGCCAAGTACACAATTGCCGGCAGCAGAGGTTGGCGCAGCATTGTTGCCAAGCTACAGCAGCAGCAGCAGCAAGAGGAGCAAAAATACTGCGCTGATGCGCCACATGCTGCCACATTAGTTTGCTGATATCGCCAGCAAAAGCTGTGACACTATTTCCGGTCGAAAGGCGACTGGAATAAACAACACGCAGCCCTACAACAGGCAAAAACACCTGCGCTAAGTTTACTCATACGCGCTGGTGTACAACGGCACAGCACAGCGTAAGGCCAGCCGCACTTGGTTCTGACAGATCTTCCAACTTCCTCACGGTTTTTCATCTTCCGCAACGCACTTTGTTTTCGCCAGCAGCCGGCATCCTGCTGTGGCTATAACGCATTCAAATCGACGGCTTTCCACTAGCCTCCACCATACGCCAGTTTTAATTCTAGTTGAGGGCTACGAGTGGACGGGAAGGCACAATAGCAGCAGCAGCAGCAAACAGAAAGGTAGGACGCTGCCTTTAATAGCATCTATAGTCGTAAATACGTGCAACAAACAGCAAGCCAGCAAATAAAAGGAACACCAGCAGCAACAGCAACAGCAACAGCGACGTTAAGCGATAGCCCGCCCCGTTCGAGTGTAGCGAAAAAGGCAATGCCAGCAAATATGAACAGAAATTTTGTCGCAATTTGCTTGTCAGGTGAGTGAGTGCAAATGGCATTTTGCTTTGTCCTTTGTTCATGAGAGTGTGTGTAGGTGAGCGTGTGCACGTGTGTGTGCGCATTTGGCAATAAGTGTGGCATGCATATTTTTGTGGCGTATGTTGCAACATTGCACTTTACACTGATTTATGTATGACATGTAGAAAGGCTCCACTTCGAAAGCACAGCACCATTGATATGGTAAGAGGAGCATTGATTTCGTATCAGCAGTGTAACTGTGATTTATGGTAGGAAAAGTCGAAAAGTGCAGAAATTGGTACTTTCAACAAAAAATTGCTACCACTTTTTGGACGCGCAATACAAAAGCCTATATTTATAAAATTGGTTTTGAAGTGTAAAAATATGGAGAGCTGGAAGGGAAATCAAGAGTAGGGCGAATATGGAATGCGTGGAGAATATGTATGAAAAGAAAATGTTAGTCAATATGATTGGACCAAATTGAGGGAAGCAGAGAAGAGAAGAAAAAACTTGTTTTTGAGAAAAGCGATTTCAAATAAGTATATATACATATATATGAATAGAGATGAAGATAGAAAAAGTGAAAAAGTTAGAAAAACTGGCAGCCGCTGTGATTCGGTGGTTAGCAGTGCGTAGGGTCTGGGTTCAAGCCCAGTTTCCGACCAACATCAAAAAATAAAACATAAAAAACAAAAGTTTTTCTAATTGCGGTCGCCTCTCGGCAGGCGATGGCAAACCTGCGAGTGATTCTTCTAATAGGGTGTTTTATTTGAAAACTCCTTTATTTGTACGGCTAAACACGTGCAAATTCCTGAAATTTAAATAACTAAATAAGTCTACTGGAAAAATCGTTAAGATCGGTTATCTATAAGCTATAACTTCTATACCACTGATTGTCCAGATACAAGCTTTTGCGATATAACTCCTTTATGTAGGCAGCTAAAACCATGAAATTTTGTGACCGGTTTACATGTCGATCATACCATGCCTTCTCATCAAAAATCATTTAGACCCGTGCTTTGTAAGCTATATCTTCTATACCACTAATTGTTCATATATGAGCTTTTTATTTCACTCCTCTATCTATATATGAAGTGAAGATAGACATTTTTTAACTCCCAAACAATGAAAGGTATGAAGCCTTTGACATACGATAGCTGAAGACATCCTACCTGTTAAAACATAGGCTAGTACCATCTCGTTTCACTTTTTACAAACAGTCTAATTAAGAGTCAGTCTTAGCTGCGTTGACTTCGAAATCGCATATTTTTGCGCCTTGACAGGTGTAGTGTGTCTTAATGTCACTTTTAGGTAGAATACCCTAGACATTCATTATTGAAAATCCAAACTATCCGTTTCGTCAAGATTTTCGCTGAATTTGATGGCATAGCTGGTACTCAACCTTTTGTCCTGGGTGGTGATGGGTTATCTATGGCTTCAGTGTCATTTACGATCTCGGACAAAAGTTGCCACTCGCCTCTTTCAAACCATACTTCGGGAAAGTTTTACTATCATAAAAACCTCTGTTTTAGCCACGCTTTAGTCACAGCTGAACTAGCTCTAAAATCTGAAATTTTCATTGCTAAAAGGTTTTTTATATCACGCCCAAGAAAAAAACAGAGCCTACAATAATATTTTATTTTATGGAGACTAAAATTGCAAAATGAGATAATTTAGTTTATCTACTCGTCGAAGAAGGTGCTTATGAAACAATGATTTTAGAGGCATATAGTCGGAATCAAAAAAGATGTATCCTACTTGGAAATCTTTATAAAAGGAATATATTATATTTTGTCGGCTGTTAAGGTTTTGCTATAACAGCTGTTTTTTTTTTAATAAGCTGTTTATAGAATGTATCCCATCATTCATTAGATAGTATTTTAGGCTAAAAACCAAAATCTTACTAGCAACTAACCTTGAAATCCAAATATTTGTATGTATTTTCACCACTAACTTTCATTAATTCTACTTTCTTTCATTTCCATTTTATTTTTCCTTTTCAAATTCCAGTTTCCCTCGTGCTCAACATTCTACTAATGTTGCTGCCCCATGCCGCTGGCGACGACTGGTCGGCTAGTTGTGCCTCTAACTGTACCTGCAAATGGACGAATGGCAAGAAATCAGCCATATGCAGTTCGCTACAGCTAACCACCATACCCACAACGCTGAGTACAGAGCTGCAAGTGCTCGTGATGAACGACAACCATATACCCTATCTCAATCGAGAGGAATTCACCAATTTGGGTCTGCTGAACCTGCAACGCATCTACCTGAAGAAGTCTGAGGTGCAATATGTGCACAAAGAGACTTTTCGCAATTTGAAAATATTGGTTGAAATCGATTTGTCAGACAACAAAATCGAAATGATCGACAAGGACACTTTCATGGGCAACGATCGTTTGCGCATACTCTATCTGAATGGAAATCCGCTGAAAAGATTGGTCGCCTATCAATTTCCCATACTGCCACATTTGCGCACACTCGATCTGCATAACTGCCTGCTTTCCTATGTGGATCCAATGGCCTTGGCGAACCTAAATCAACTGGAGTTTCTTTATTTTAAGAATAATCCTATTAGAAAGTCTGAGTGAATATGTCTTCCAGCATATGACGAACCTGAAGACTTTGGTGTTGGATGAAAACCCGTGGCAGTGCAATTGCAAGCTGCGCAAATTTCGCACCTGGTATGTGAAGAGTAACTTGAATAGCATAAGTCTGCTGTGTAAAGGGCCACCAGCGCAGAAGGAAAAACAGTGGGAGCAAGTTGATGAAGAGCAGTTTGGGTGCGCGCCCAAAGTGGAGCTCTTCAACAACGAAGATGTACAGAATATAGACATAGGCAGCAATACGACCTTCAGCTGTCTGGTGTATGGTGATCCGTTGCCGGAGGTCACGTGGGAGCTCAACGGTAAAATACTGGATAATGATAATGTGATCTTCGACGCTGAGTCAATCACCTCGGATAAGTTATGGAGTAATCTGACTGATTTAATATGACGAGCTTGGATGCGGGCACTTACGCTTGCATTGGCTCAAATGCGGTGGGCATAGCTTCGCAGAATATCAGCATATATCTGACGGAAATTGTACAGCATGTCTTGGTTAAAACTCCAGAGACCTTTTGGTACTTCGGCTTGATCATGGGTACCTTTGGCACTATCTTTCTGCTCATACTAATCTCATTCGTGGTATGTTTATGCAAACGCACGACGCGACAGCGGCGTCATCCAAAGAAATCCGGCGTGAAACCGAGTGTCAGCTTCAACGATCAGGAGAAGAAGTTACTCGACTTAAGCATAACGACGACAACAGCCGATCGCGGCGATAGCTGTGGCATGGACAACAATACGACAACGACGATGAGTAAAACTGAATCGGTGATTGGCTTTGAGCCAATTGAAATCCATGCTACGGAAAATATGCGCGCTGCGGCCAACCATAATCACCACCAGTTGACGCACCAACAGCAGTTACAGCAGCATCACGCGCATATGGCGGGCGCTGGTTCCGGTGGCAACGGCGGCATACCAAACTCCATGATGCAGCCAAATCGCCAACAACTGATGGCCGTCGCGGATGGCTCGTGCAGCGTTGTTGGCATACCGACATCCATGGCCTCGTCAGTTGGCACGCAGCAAGTTGCGGCATCGCATCCGAACGCTATACCAGAGGAATTTCCGCTTAATGTCGGCGTCTTCCCGCCACCGCCTGAGTTTTGTTCCAATATTGTGCCAAATCCCGCGTACGGTAACATATTCATCAGCGTCTCTGTGACGCAGGATATGCTGGACAGCACGGATATTAGTATGTACCCTGACCTGCTAAACATACCAAAACGCCAGCTGAGCGCCGACGGCGGTAACATGCAAACAGGCATCAGCGTGACGAGCGGCAGCGGGGCTGGCAATGCGAATACCACGAAAACGATGCTACCGCCAGGTACAACGGCTGCAGTGAATGTCTCCTCATTCGCGACACTGCCGCGCAATCATCAACGTCGTGGCATACTCAAGAAAGACTCGTCGCTGCATCATCAACACTCGCTGCAGCAGCAACAACAGCAAACGAATTTGTATCCGCATGACGAAATCGTTTCGTATCACAATCTCGACACCACCTACAGCCAAGGCTATCAGGAACATCAACAGCAGCAGCAGCAGCAGGCGCAGCAGCAGCAGCGACAGACTTATGCAGCAAATATCGTCGGACTACCGCCGCCACCCCCACCGCCAGCGGCCACTACAATATCACAGTGTCACCACAATCAAGCGGCTGTAACGGCGGCCATCAATGCGAAAGCGTGCGCCGCCTGCATGGGTACGCTCTCGCCACCACCGCCTTCCTGCAGCACGCCGCCGACAACGACGGATGCAACGCCGCTGCGACCGCTTTGTAAGGGTGGCAGCGGCTCAAAGCCGACCAGTAATGCGGGACTCAAATACGACAACATGGGACGACGCTTCACCGCCAGCGGCAACTCAACACTCTCGCTACCCGACGAGGAAGATGAGGAGGGTGAAGAAGATGAGACGCGTTTCATTGAAGAGGCGCGCATTATGAAGCAGGGACAAAAGCAGCAACAAGACTGCCAGCAGCAGCAGCAGCAGCAACCGCATAAGGTTACGACGGCGATGGCGAATGTAGCTGGTGGAGTGTCAGCGAATGCGAGCGGCAATACGATGGTAGCAGATGCGGGAGGCGGCACGGAATATGTGTCGCTGTAGTATTACGGAACGCAGGTGTAAATAGGGGGTGTTGTATCTATATACATATATATAGCGTGTAAGGCTTAGGTGGGAGTACATGTAAGGGAGGCACGAGTTTACAAGTAAACATAATTAATTAAGAAAATTAGTAGTAAAATATATACTTACATGCAATTCTAACAAATATTAATAGTTTAGGGAGGTGTAGACTTATTAAGGGTGCAAAAACGCTGCAAATAGCTGCTAATTTTGAAATTTTCGCTTTAAAGTAGAGCTATGGTTTATGCAATTTTATATAAAATTATCATATTTAAAAAGCAGTCAACGCAATTTACTTACTTTTAGCCGTCTACAAGCAGTAAATATTTTATAGATTCAATGAAGTTTTAGAACAAATGAAGAGCGGCAAATTGCAAAAGATAAGAAAAAGCTTCTTTAGCTATTTTAACCAACAACGTTGTGCAAAAATTTCGTGAAGAGGAAAGTTGATTAGACAAAAAAACAACACACAGCCAAAGTTTATGGTATAATTTAGTTTCTCTTTTCCTAAATGCTTGCTGTTTTTAACAAACTAGTAAATATTATATGCGCAGCACACTTGTTTGCAATTCTCGTATAGTAAAAAATTAATTTATGTATTTTGTTGCGCGCATAGACATTTCATGCAGATTTAGCTTAATTTAGAATTAGTATAACCCCATCTGTTCAATATGCCTTAGTTCAATTACATTATTTACTGTTCTTAAAGGGGTAATACATACACACATCACGAATATTATTGATCAAAAATCTTTGTGCAAATCTAGGTCTGGGTCCCTATGGACACTTTCTCCAGATTTTCAAACTCAGCTCTTCACTGACGTACACATAGGAGGTACTGCAGTATTTCAGAAATA